GGGAGGGGGGAGGCGTAGAGAGGCTGGAGACTCTTTTTAAGAAATATATATTTTTATGATTTCAGGGAGGAAGGGAGAGGGAGAGAGAGAGAGAAACATCAATGATGAGAGAGAATCATTGGTCTGCTGGCTCCTGCAGGCCCCCTACTGGGGATCGAGCCCGAAACCCGGGCATGTGCCCTGACGGGGAGTCGAACCGTGACCTCCTGGTTCTTAAGTGGACGCTCAGCCCCTGAGCCCGGCCGGCGGGTGGGAGGCTGGAGACTTAGAGGGAGAGCTGCACTGGAGGGAAGGAGACTGCATTTAGGGCAGCGGTTCTCAACCTGTGGGGCGCGACCCCTTTGGGGGTCGAACGACCCTTTCACAGGGGTCGCCTGAGACCATCGGAAAACACGTATATAATTACATATTGTTTTTGTGATGAATCACTATGCTTTAATTATGTTCAATTTGTAACAATGAAATTGGGGGTCACCACAACATGAGGAACTGTATTAAAGGGTCGAGGCATTAGGAAGGTTGAGAACCACTGGTTTAGGGAGAATGTGGAGGGGGTTGGGGGTATCTGGGGAGGGGAGGCAGGCTGCCTGGGGGTAACTGTGCCTGAGGAGCAGCCTGGCCCGGAGTAAACGTGGTGTGCCCACGGCAAAACACGCCGTGTAGGTGCTGCCTGTCTGAGAGTGTGTCTCCCTTCCCCAGGCCTCCGGGTGACATGAGCAGGGTGGGTGGGGAGTGATCCAGGCCCTGGAGGCATCCAAGCCAGGGCCGGACCCCCGGGCGGGCGCCACTGGGAGATGGCCCCTCTCTCTAAGGACCGAATGGGGGAGACTAACCACCCCAGGTGCTGGGGACGGTCCCCGCCCAGCCTCCCCGCCACATTCCCAGGAACAATCCGGACAAACCCGCTGCCACGCCGACCCCCACGTGACCCTCTGTAGTCTCGCTTCTTGTATGAACATGGAATCCCCCGGGGTCTAGCCGGGGGCCGAGCACGAAGTAGCTGCTTCCTAAATGCAGGCGGAAAGCCTGAGGGGGCAGGATGGGGAGTCGGGTGCCCGGGGAGTGCGGGGCAGGGTTTTGGGGTTACCTTGACCACTGCCTTTTTATGGACCCCTCACTTGGATATTGGAGGCAGGGATGGACAGATCAGGGGCCCGGCTGCCAGCACCCACTGGGGCCTGGCGCCCTAGAAGCTCACCCAGACCCCAGCAGCAGCTGGGGGGACCCTGTGCGGGGGTCACGCTTGCCCTCATACCTCCGGCGAGCTGCCTGTGCGTGTGGCCCCGTCGCTCATGGGAACTCATGGGGTCCTGCCTCCTGGACCGGAAGATCCTGGCGTCCTCATCTGCAGGATGAACGGCGGCATCGCTCTTGGGGTGACTGCTGCTCATGCCGGGGCAGGTGCTGGGTCAGGGCTCTGCAGGGGCCCAGCTGCACCCTCTCTCTCGGGACTCTGAGCGCGGGCCATAGCTCTGGACCCAGAGGCAGCTGCCCCCAAGCTGGCTGCACCCCCCCACCCCCCACAGGCCCCAAGTCTATAGTTTTGGGCACCACGCCTGCTCTGAGGGGATGGGGCGAGGACAGCATCTGGGGTACTTCTGCCGCTCACACTGTGCTAGGCACGTGGGATTGGTCAGCAGAGGCCAGAGGCTGGAATCTGGGCTAGTTTTCT